CCCCAAAACCCCAAAACCCCAAAACCCCAAAACCCCAAATGATTGTTGGTTTATTGAAAGTAACCATAAGTTATGTGATTACAGTAGGACCTTCTCTTCCACTAATCTCATTGATTTCACAATATTCGAGAGCCTTTTCAGATAAATTTTTGAGTGCTTCTGCTGTCTCAAGCTCTGTGTTATCCTTGTTATAGCTTTCTAGATAGATTCTAATGGTGGCTCCTGAGGATCCAGTTCCTGATTTTCTGAAGATGAATCTTGAGCCATCTTTGTACATGAATCTCCAACCCTGATTCTTTGAAGAGCTTCCATCTACCGAGTCAGTATACTCAAAGATATCTGCAACATTTCCTTCTTCTTCGTTTCTGAATTGCTCCATTTTAGATTCTAAAGTTTCGAATATCTTGTCAGCTGTTTCAGTCTCTAAATTCTCATAGTCATATCTAGAGTAATAATTTCTTCCAAATTTCTTCCAGTGATCTCTTACAATCTGTTCAGCTGATACAAGATTTCCTTCAGTAGTTTCGGAGTTCTTGTGAGCAATAATGCTGAGCCAGGCAAGGACAGCCCAGATTCCATCCTTTTCTCTGATATGGTTTGAGCCTGTTCCAAAACTTTCTTCTCCACAAATGACTATTTTATCAGCATCTAAGAGATTTCCAAAGAACTTCCATCCTGTTGGGGTTTCATAGACATCGATTCCCAATTCTTTGGCAACTATATCAACAGCTCCTGATGTAGGCATTGATCTAGCTACACCTGTGATATCCTTCATGTAAGAGATTGCACCATGATTTGCAGTGATAATTGCAAGAGAATCTGAAGGAGTAATGAAGAATCCTTTTCCAAGAACCATGTTTCTATCAGCATCTCCATCAGCTGCAGCTCCAAAATCTGGGGTTGTGTCAGTAGCAACATTAGCTCCTTTTATAGTTACTCCCATAACTTTGACTAAGTTCTCAGCGTATGTTAGGTTTGGATCTGGATGTCCTCCTTCAAAATCAGGTGAAGGATCACACCCATAAAGATTTTCAGCAGGAACTCCTAATTCCTCTTCGAATATTGTTCTTGCATAGGGACCTGCGACTCCACTCATGCCATCATAGGCAAAATTAAAGTCACTCCTTGCCATTAGAGCCTTGATAGAGTCGAAATCGAAGAGTGATTTTAAAAGAGAGACATAGATATCTGTTGAAGAAATAACTTCAGCAATAAATTCATGCTCATATCCTTCCACTTGAACAGGATTTTCTTGGTGAATCTCGGTTAGATTTATCTCAGGAAGCTCAGCATATTTATACTCAGAAATCTCTTTTGATCTCGAGAAGAAAGCATCTGTGAGATTCTCAAGAGCCGGACCACCATTCGAGGAATTGAACTTGATTCCAAAATCATTGTTCTCACCTCCTGGATTATGACTAGCTGTTAATACTATTCCTCCTGTGCAAGATCCTTCTACTTCTTTGTTAAGTTGCCTAATGACTGCTGAAACCGCTGGAGTAGAAAGCAGACCATTTTGACCGATGACTACCTTCCCAAATCCTCTTGCTGCTGCCATCTTGGCTATCTTTTGGATTGCAATATCATTGTAATACCTACCATCTCCAGAGAGAACAAGACTTTTTGTATGAACTTCATCATCCTTAAGAGAATCAAAGATGGATTGAACAAAGTTCTCGAGGTAGTTTTCTTGTTTAAAAACTGACACTTTCTTCCTAAGTCCGCTAGTACCAGCCTTCTGGTCTGTATAAGGAGTAGTTTGAACAGTTGTGACACTAATAGTATTGGATTCCATAATTATTAAATCTAAATTTCTACTTGGTATTTTTCATCTGGGGTTTTGGGGTTTTGGGGTTTTGGGGTTTTGGGG